ACGCGACGGTAAAGCAGTATAATCGGCATTTAGATAATAAATTTTTAGTCACTGAGGCGTATAATAGCGCTTTCAGTAAAATCAGATAACAGTAAAAGATTAGAGAATAATGGGGAAGAGCAATGAGTGAAGTACCTTCAGAATTAAAATATGCAAAATCTCACGAATGGGTGCGCATTGAAGACGATGGCATGATGACGGTTGGTATATCTGATCATGCACAAGCTTTATTGGGTGATTTAGTATTTGTTGAATTACCAGAAGTTGGCACCGAGCTTTCTGCTGGTGATGAATGCTGTGTTGTTGAATCAGTAAAAGCGGCTTCGGATGTGTATATGCCGATTAGTGGCGAGATTATGGAAATAAATGAAGCTTTAGCCGATGAGCCTGAAATTATTAATAGCGCGCCTTACGATAATGGTTGGTTATTTAAAGTTCAGCCATCTGCTGGGGAAGTAGAAGATTTACTCGATGCAGAAGCTTATCAAGCTGAACTTGACGAGTAATTACTAGCACTTTTCAGAAAAAATTTAGACCTGCTGCTTACCAATTTAAACGCTTGGTTAGCAGCAAATATTTCAATCCCATCCTGATAGAAACGTATGCCTTTTATTCCACACACCGACCAAGAAATTAACGATATGTTAAGCACCATTGGTGCTGATTCAATTGAAGATTTATTTGATGAAATTCCTGCTCATTTACGCGCTGGGGTTTTAGAGGCTGTACCTACGGGTATGAATGAAATGGAAATTAGTCGCTTAATGCGCCAACGTGCAGAGCAAAATACTAAAGCTATTTGTTTCTTAGGCGCGGGTGCTTATCAGCATCATATTCCATCAGCTGTGTGGGAAATCACTACCCGTGGTGAGTTTTATAGTGCTTATACACCATATCAAGCAGAAGCATCGCAAGGTACTTTGCAGTTGACCTACGAATACCAAAGTATGATGACGGCATTAATGGCAATGGATGTTTCTAATGCTTCTATGTACGATGGCGCATCATCACTAGCCGAAGCTATTTTGATGTCTGTGCGGGCTAATCGTAAATCAAAATCACGTAAAATTTTAATTCCTACTTCGGTTAACCCAGTTTATCGCAAGACTGCACATACCATTGCTAAAGGTC